CGTTGCGGAACTGCTTATCAATTAATTTCAACACTTGACCATTTTGAAATTTTTAAAACGCTTTAAAAATGGTTTCTTGAGGATAATTTGGTATCGAGTTCAAGCAGCAGTTTACTTCCAAAATTAACAATACAAAGTTTCATAAGAGGAATATTCGCAGGCGGAAATTATCTCATTTCCTGTACTAAAGGACCAGATACACCTGCGCGCTACACGCGCGTCTTGACCCGTAAAGTAGGACCCCATCCTACTTTGAGCGAGTTACGAGTGGCGAGCTGCGACCTGATTGGCTACAAAGATTGCCGAACACGGCCGAAGCACTCGCCGCTCAAGACGCGCGTCTAACTCGCACGTGTATCTGCCCCTTTAGTGCGATGTATCGAGCAGTGGCGAGACGTGAATGATCGATTATCGATATTTCCCCACTTGAAGTTATTGTATAAAATCGATTATTAAGGTGTTCGTTTCGAACACTCTGTTTATCGATCCTTCTCCATAGGTTTAATTGGCAGATCAATCGATATATCGCAAAGCACGCCACGCCACTGGTATCGAGGCCCAATCAGACAGAGACGGAATCAACAGGAAAACAAAGTAATCACACCGTAACATTCGAAAAGGATTTAATTGAAATGCAGTAAGTAACGCAACACAAATAAATTGCTTACAGCTAAATCTATTTTTATTGTCAGACCAGCAAAGGTCAGTGACCTACGTGAATTTGCCAACATAAAAAGCAAACAATTAAAATAAAAATTTAACACACTAACAAATACATTCTGCAGTTAAGATTAAGGAAAAACCGTAGCCACATTTCATCCATGTATCGAAAAAAAAACCACTCGCCACTCTTAACTTTTTTTCGGGTCCCAGCCGGAATGAAGTTTTATTTCCCAACTATGTTGGATTCTTTGAAATTTTCTGCTCTTGTTTTCAAAATTAGGTATCGTTATCTAACTTGTCACACGTATGGCCGCCCAAGTTAAGAGGTTCTGTATTGCATGGTGTTGATTCCTACACGGAACTTTCTTTGTAAAGATGTGTCTGAGACATAAAATTTTAGATTTCAATGGGAAACAATTTCTAGTGCATCGCAGAACGATTTACGAGGGTTGAGGATCATTCTTGCTTCGATAAAGGGGCTAAAGTAGTGTTTGGCTCGGACTATTTCAGGCGACAAAAATAGGAGATCGAATATTGAAGTGGCTTTTTCTCTAAATTCCGTACTTCAAACTTTCGTGCTCTAAACTTCAAATCTCATGAAAATTGACGAAATTTGTAGTTAAATATTCTGTGCCAAAATTCTCTTGACATACTCTTTGCCGTACCAACTTGCTAGCCTAGGGTAGGACCTAGCACTGCTAGGGAAGAACGCCGTTTGAGCATTAAGATATTGCCAAATTTCTTTCAATAAAATACAAAGTTTCTTCGGAATTAGTGGATGTTTTTCTTTTAATTTTTAGGAATGTATCTTCGTAATATGATTTCGATATTAAAAAATTCCTAGGAGAAATATTCTTTACTTTCCCCAAAAATAAATATTTGATTGAGGGAATTCTGCAAAGTTTGAGATTTCATTTTGCCTTTCGCTTTTATAAGAGAAAGTAATGTTGCAAATACTAAATGTTGAGTTTTGTTTATAAACATGAGAATACTTTTTCGTGGACGACCACACGTGTACAAACAAACTTCTCTGAGTATTTGAAGTATGATAATAATTCATTTTTTTTCAAGTTTGACCTAACCAAACCTACCAAACATATCTATCAAGAAACTTCACCAAAAATGTTTGCTAAGGTTTTTCTGATTTTAACCGCAGCATTAAGCTATATTAAACTTGTAAAGTATTAATAACTTATTTACACATTTTTACAAACATTAGACCATGGATTCAAATTTGATAGTGTGTTCAATGAATTCACTGAGATCAAAGCACGGCAGAGGTTCATGGCAAATCCAATGAGGTGGTCAAACTTCGATTGAAGTTATGGCTTTGGCGTCGGGTTTTAGTGAGCAGGTTCAACTTCAATAAATTGTAAAATCGCATATATTTTACTAAAAATGATTCCATTTCCTTCGTTGAACCTTCATTGTGAGCCGCTGACGATAAAAGGGGGCTTTTCTTCATTTCAATTGTGATTGTTGCGGCCATGAACTCAGAAACTTTTAAAATTGATTATAGAACGCATAACTAGAGCCTCAAATAGGTAAATAGTTGAACCGATGACGGAGTCATTAGTGATAATTGACATCACACCACTCTCCTTTTCACTCAGGCGTAGTTTATATTCTCACCATTTTTGGAGCTTATAAAGAAAAGGTAATACTGTATTTGTAGTTGTAAAAGCGTTTAATTAGGTATAAATGATTATCCGCGTTCCCATCTTTGTTTTAGTGCACCACTTTTACACATAATGCAGTTGCCGTAAAATTTGATGTTGCGAAATTTCGGCATATCCATGTGAGCAAAAATATAGCATGCACTAACACATCAATTCAAAACGCAACCCTTAAATTTTTAAACCTTACAATGTATCACTTACTGTATTTTTGTCAATGGTATTTCAGCTAAGTAAAAAAGATCAATCGATCATCTACACAAATTTATTTGGCGTCTTAGCTAATCTAATTCGTTTACGTAAGCGATCGTATTCGATAAATCAAACAGGTGAGATTGTATCGATATCGATTGGTTCAACATGTAAACATAACCTCAAAAGTCAATTTAGAAATCTAAGGGCACGGGTTTTTTGTGATAGATTTTTGATTCGTTTGAGTATAAAATGGCTATGAAAAGCGAAATTGTTAGTAATTTTATCATTTTCAGCTTTTCCAGCTTAAATCCTAAACTTTTTGTTTGAGGTTCTGTTCTATTGTTTTAAACCAAACGATACATCGAACCACTATCGAATTACGATCCGTTCGATATTTATTATCAGTCCTACACAATTGCACACTGTCTGTAAAATTGCAAAAACGCGAATATCAATGACGACGGACTGCCTATCATAGTTTACTTTTCAACTGAAAAAATATACTAAGATATTGTGAGAAATTTCCGGATATTTATTATCCGTGCAAAGAATATTCCGTAAAAATTTCAAGAACTTGTGGGACTTTGCGTTCAATGAATAGAATGAAAGCATAGATTCTGAACACCACCAGCTGGATTCAAATTTTTGTACTCCCACAGTTGATAAAGGTATTTCTTTTTTAAACTCTCGTCCAAGGTGTATATAACTATAATGGATCACTAGACAAGGTACGAATTTAAGCTTTCTGATACATTGTTTTAAATCAGAATTTCATGTAGAACCCGATTCTTGCATCAAAAATTACTGAAATCAACTCCTAACTAAGATATTAAAGTTTTAATTTTACATTGGTTACAGGAAATTTAAATTGCCCGGTCTTAAGACACTCCATACTCTACGTGAGTCAAATCACGCCTTACGACGGTTTCGGCAGGCTTCTCAATCGAGCACTGTTCCTTTCCTAACCTTTATAGTTCATAGTGTAAACAACTTGCTATAGCTGAGCCGAAGCATCATGATTGAGGCTCCTATATTTTCGTATTGCAGAGACTACCTCGTTAACGTATAATGTGCGATTTGACTCACGCAGACAATTGAGTTCTCATGAGCGGGAGGTTTGAATTCACGTCAAGAAACACTAAATATCTGGGTCAGGGGTTAATTCAGTAGTTTACGTTGCGTGAATTGTGTTTTACGTGAAATTTTGGCTAGGAATCATGCATCAGAATGCTTGATTTTGTACCTCGTCTAGTGGTCCATTTGTTTCTAGCAATATCTATTTGTTTTGTCGTATATTCCGTAACGCACACTGTCCGAGCGCTTTCTTAAAACATCATCAGCAATACGCCTATGACCGAAGAAATCAAATTATGCGTACGTCAGTGGCGTGGCGTGAATTGCGATACATCGATTGTTATATCATTTAAACATATGGAAAAAGATCGATAAACAGGGTGTTCGCAGCGAACACCTTAATAATCGATTCTTAGCCATAGGTTTAAATGGCAAAACAATCGATATATCGCAATTCACGCCACGCTACTGGCGTACATATAGCAATGTTGCCGGTCCTCCGTGGGAAAAGTGATTATTTTTCATTGAGACGTTTGAGATATCGTATTATTTACATAAATGAACGTAATTTTTAATTTAATTTTATCCAGGCAAAAAGTAAAATCAGGATTTTTTTCGAAAACAATCAATGAGGTGTCTATCGATGTATGATAAAGGGGCATGGATTGAAAATACGAGATGCCAGGTTATAATATCAACCTTGAATATCGAACTTTAAAATCATCAAATAAGCCCGTAGAAAAACTATTATTCGGTAAGTGTGACAAAACATTGGTACATCTTTCTTAATCATGTGACCACGGTGAAAAAAGTTTGACATCGGGTATTTCTAACTGAATCAATCGGTGATTTCTTTCGCTGGATTTGCATGCATTTAAATACGGAAGCATTGACAGGCATTGCTTAATTGTACGACAATTTTACCGACGAAAATTCTTAGTGTTACATGTCTCCTTTTGTCTTGTAATACGAGTAGATAAAGTAACCCGCATTTTATGTTTTAAAGAATACACAAACTGATTGCGGTGGACGCACGGGTCGTGAGACAGTATGTTGGAGTTTTTGCCAACGTGCGCTAAAATTCAGCATGATGCTGAAAATCTCATGCAGAGGGAAAAAACTCACATGAGCACAGTTTTCTCTCAAAGAGATATGCTGTTTGGTGCAACATTAGTTACGTCCATTTTCGGGCTGGTTTTCACGATCTCTCGAGCTTGGTAGCAGAAAATTCAGGAGGCTGCACTGCACTGATGATTGGCCCAACAAGGCCGAAACGCGTCTGCAGTTGCCTTCCTGAATGGATGTAACTAGTGTTGCACCAAACAGCCGATCTCTTTGAGGGAAAATTGTGCTCATATGAGCTTTTTCCCTCTTTATTGAGATTTCCAGCTTTATGCTGAATTTTAAAGCACGTTGGCAAAAAAACTCCAACATACTGTTTTAAAGAATGTTGTTGCGTATCTCTTTAATCTACAGTTATCACTTCCATATAATCGAAAAGGTTCTGGTATGGTTTGAAAAATCTATTAAAGTATTTGCTTGTGAAATAGGCCTTTAAAGGTTGATATTCATGATGTCTCTCACGCAATAGGAGACAAAATAATTGACTGAGTACCTCGGCAGTTTCGAATGCCCAGTGGCAGTTTTTTTTTCACCCTTCAAATGTATGTGAAAATGATGATCGATTCTCGATGTGACAGGCTGCCTTGCCTATATCATTATTATATTTAAAATGAATTTTACCTTTTTATGGATCTGGCTTTTACCTTAGAAGTTTTTAAACCATCTTTAGCGACACAGGTGAACAAATGAAGGGAATCATAGGTGGATCCAGACACTTCTAAATGGGATCCGGGGTGCTACACCCAGAAAATTGTCGAAATTTTAAAGCATCTATTTGCAGTTTGAGTGAATTTTGTCACGAATAATTACCAAATACATAGCACAAGCTATACACATGTATAAGAGTCCTTTCGTTTGCTTTCTTCCGTTCCTTCCTTCATTTTTTCATCCCTTTACCCCCTTTTTGGGCAATCAGAAGGGGGGGGGTGTACGCCTCCTACAACCCCCCTGGATCTGCCTATAGAACAGTGTACCCGATTTGCAAAAATCGCCACTGGAGAAATGCCTAATTTCAATGTTTGCCTAGGAAGTCATTATCCAAATGATGAGATTAACAGATGGGCTACGGACGTAGAGAAGTTATTAAATTAGTTAATTTTCTTCATCTTCTGGCAAAGCTTGGTCACCAGGAGTGGAGAGGGGTCGACTTGCTGGTCTGTCCATCATCCCTTGGACAAGGTCCATTCGTGAATCTAGGGAGAATTGCTTCCCGGACATCAAGATACCTCGTATCCTTCGCCTAACAGCTGAAACCATCACAAATGGAAGATAAGAAAAACCAATTTTCCCAATGCACTGGAATTTATTGAATGATCAATTTTTCTATTAAGTGACTGTATGTATAAAATATACTCCGGATCTCATCTTGGCCGATACAAGGCACATCACCAGGTTATGCTCTTCCGGACCCAATCGGGCAGAACTTTTCGACTCCCGCCGCTAGAGCTGTGGCGCGCAATTTTTCCAACAACTTCGCATTCTGAAAACAAATGGACTGCATTTTTCAATTTGGAACTATAAATTCTGGCTCTTCTGGAAAAACACTTATAAGCATAGGGAAACTAATGGCACATACGTTGGTTTTAAATCGGGCTGCAATCTATAGGTCCAAATTTTGCAAAATGTAGTCCAAATATGACCGTCTGCTGTTGATATAAACAAACAAATTCAGCGCAAGCACAATATTTAAGAATCAAACTGTATTTGCTTTTAGTGAGGGGATTTATTGTCATCAACAGTAGACGATCATATTTTATCTCGGCTCAGACTGGAAAGTTTTTGAAATTCAAATTTCGAGCCACAGCTCTAGCGGTGGCATCCAAACTCTAAGTTCCGAGCTTGAACTAAAAGAAAATCTGCTTAAATTCAGGGGCTGTGCTCTCGATTCAAGCGAAAATCCGATTGAATTAAGAGTATTAATTCGTGACAATTTTTTTATCAGTCTGGGCTTCGGATCCAAAAGACTATTTTTTCCAGTGAGAACATTTTTGATGAGTTTTTATTGTTTTTTGCGTTTGAGTTTCAAGAAGTCTAAAAACGATGAGATTTTAGAGTGTAAACCAACATCTGGATAAAAATTAAGTGTCCTTACCTGGACTGTCAGGGACGTTGAGTCTAAGAACGGAAAAGTTCTTGTTCCAATCGGGAGAAATCCCTTCGCCGTTATCAAATACCGCAGCATAACTTCCGTTCACGATTTTTGGGGACATGGGCGAGTTAGCTAACAATAAGCTTGAGCCAAAATGTTCGTTCTTCTGGCGGGTCTCTGGAAAATTAAATAAAATACTCAACTTCTCAGCTTTGTATCATCTTTAAATTATAGATGATAGATTAGGGCGATAAAGCATATTGATCGGATTCATGGCAAAGTAGATGGCTACCTAGCCGCAGAGATCAGTTCATCGTTCGAATTTTTTCATTTTTTCGTTCATAGATTACGTAAAGCCGGTAACACACGTACACTCTGAATGTACATTCTGACCTACTGCGCATGCGTGGGCATCGCAAATGTACACTCATCATTCTCTTGGAAAAGAATGTACAGTTTGACGAGAAGAAGAAGATACCCGAGACGATCTTTTACTCATTCCTGTAACTTATAGTTGTTCAAGAGAACAAAATGAGGAACATTCTCGATGCCCGCGCATGCGCAATAGGTCAGAATGTACATTCGGAGTGTACGTGTGTTAGCGGCTTAACGCTCTAAGGAGAGAGGGAGTATGAGCCTTCTTTGAAAGGGAGAGGGGGGTATGACCCTCTTTAATGGTAAAAAATTCACAAAATCTTTCAACATTTCAACTTTGGTTTTTATACATCAATTTTTACACTACTTTTTCTGTAATTACTCGAGATACACCATAGATAGATCGCCTATTTTTTCTCATCCATTTTTTATAAATTTCTTATACCTTTTTATACCCTCAGTGTTTTTCGCTTTTCTTCTTTATACATTATTAACAACACCGTCCAATAAAATTCACCCTTAATCTGCAACGTTATTGGCCATACTAGCATTAAAAATACTTTATATTTTAAACAGCAATACATTCAACCGTCAGGGAAAATTTGAAGGAAATTTCCTCAAAATTTTCTCTTAAAACATAAACAGAAATGTAAATGAGGGGGGAAACAGTTTCGTAAATCATTTGTTTGGGACCAACGTAACCTTAAAAAAAAGGAAAAAAGAGAACAAAAACAAACGGAGAAAAAAGATTTCAGTTCAGGATCTGACTTCTAGAAAGGAAAATTAAGAAATGGACCACTAGACAAGGTACGAATTTAAGCAATCTGATACATGTTTCTTAACCAGAATTTCACGTAGAGCACGATTCGCACAACGAAAATTACTCAAACCAACTCCTAACAAAGATATTAACGTTTTTATTTCACATTGGTTATGAGGAATTTGAACTGCCCGCTCACAAGAAACTCAAGGCTCTACGTGAGTCAAATCGCGCACTACAACGGTTTCTGCAAGCCTCTCAATCGAGCAATGTTCATTTCCCACCATGTGTTGTTCAAAATATTAGCAATTTGCTACAGCTAAGCCAAAGCGTCAAGATTGAGGTTGCCAGATTTTTATATCGCAGAGACTGTCATGATAACGTTTAGCGCGCGATGTGAATCACGTAGAGCATTGAGTTTTCATGAGCGGATGGTTTGAATTTACGCATCAAGAATCATAAAATATCTTCGTAAGGAGTTAATTTCGATAATTTTCGTTGTGCGTATCGTGTTTTACGTGAAATTTTGGTTAAGAAACATGTATTAGAATGCTGAAATTCGTACCTTGTCTAGTGGTCCACTGGAGGGGATATGCATATTAAGGATTGTGCGGATTTTCCAAGGTTGATAAATGTCACTTTAAAGGCTCTCTGTGCTGCCTTTCAACCACTTTAAAAGCAAAACTACGAACAAAATTTATTGCGAAAATTGTTGAAAAATGCGTGCGTGTGCTGCGGCAAAGTAAGGGAACAAGGGAACGGATCGAAGCATCAATAGTCTATTTTTCGGGTGCCATCACCTACGATCTGTGTCAAACATTAATATGATATTAAAATCATTAGCGTCCGTATTATGTGAAAACTACAAACTACCCACCGATGGGTCAGTTATCCTGTTAACAGTATAATGTTTTGATGGTTTAAGCAGGTAATGTAGCAACAAGTAATAAGTAATAGGTATCCGTTCAAAAGTTGTATCGTCTAACACACTGGAAAAAAAACACATTGGATCTAGAGTCCAGACTCTTAAAAACATCGATAAGAAAAAGTACTCTCGATTCAATCAGAATCTAGCTTAAATCAAGAACCAAGCCTCTTAATTTAAGCAGATTTCGTTTTGATTCAAGCAAAAATCCGATTGAATCAAGAGTATTTTTTCTTGTCGATGTTTTCAAGAGTCTGGACTCTAGATCCAATGTGTTTTTTTCCCCAGTGTATAAACGGTTATGCCGCTAATTGAAAAATACGGCTTATGGTGTCTTCCACCGTGGCAAGGCATACTGTGGTTTCTACCGCGTTGTAAAACGTCATACTCCGTGATTTTCAGTGAGCGATATGTCCGTTTATACTGGGACGCACTGGGGGAAAAAAAAAACACATTGGATCTAGAGTCCAGACTCTTGAAAACATTGACAAGAAAAAATACTCTTGATTCAATCGGATTTTTTTTTGAATCAAAACGAAATCAGCTTAAATTAAGAGGCTTGGTTCTTGACTTTAGCTAGATTTTGATTAAATCCACAGTACTTCTTCTTGTCGATGTTTTTAAGAGTTTGGACTCTCGATCCAATGTGTTTTTTTCCAGTGTACCCACCGATGGGTCAGTTGTGCTGTTTACAGTATAATGTATTGATGCTTTAAGCATGTAATGTAGCAACAAGTAATAAGTAATAAGTATCCGTTCGATAAAGTTGTATCGTCCAATACTTATAAGCGGATATACCATACCGCTAATAGAAAAATACGGCTTATGACGTCTTCCACCGCGGCAAGGCATACCGTGGTTTCTTCAACCTTTGTTTCATCCGTATGTAATATCAAGGACCTAACATCCTCGAGAATATCACCGATTGATGAAACCAATAAGGTGGAAGGAGCCTTGATATGCACCACCGCGTTGTAAAACGTCATACACCGTGTTTTTCGGTGAGCGATATGTCCCTTCATATTGAACGTAGAAACTTGGCGTTAAGACAGATTCCATTTTTTTTTTCTAATCTGTCACGTTAAATCAGAAAGCGATTCTCGTACTAGCCGAACTAACCCCCAGAAAAAGTTTTTTGATGAGAAATGATCGGTTCTTGAAGAGCTTTTGCCGGAAAAAACATGTCCGTAAGTGAGTGCGGTAATTACAGTGCTAAGTGCGTCGATAATATTCTACTGGCCTGGTTACACGATCAATTCCCGTCAAATTCCGATCAAATGGTGACTGGTGCGCACCATCTATACCATCAAATTTCTGCGGCCTGCAAAAATTTGATGGTAGATGATGGAGCTGTGGGGCTCATCCTTCATCTGATTTCCACACAACCGTGCTTATTTCATGCTTATTTCAATCAACACGCTGTTTTAATTAATTTTATTCATCAATCTGGATAACTCTCGACCGCCATCTTGGTCATCATTTTGATCGGAGTTTGACGGGAATTTGATCGTGTAACCAGGCCATACCAGAAAGTGTGCTGCTACAGACGAAGGAGTGATCAACCTCAGATTCTGTGATTACCTAAACGCTACAGATGTCAATTGCCGAGTCTTGGCATCTGTTACTAGTTTTTTTTAAAAGTGGATTTTATCACGACGGCATTTTCCATGCATTTACTCGACATCTTTAAAATTCCATCTCGTCTATATGCCTGCAAATTAGACCAGAGGTATTCCGATTTAATTTTTAGAGACGCCCTTACGATCAGGTGGACTCTTGACGTGCCAAGTCAATGCGATGGTGGACGGAAACTTCAAGGTTACGTTGGAACTCCAAACCTCGATTGAAAAGACCCTAAAATCCACAAATAACTTCAGTTTTTTTTATGTTTCATAACGTATTACTACTTGTAATTTGCGATGTATTCATGTTACATTGCAATATTTTCTCTTGTTTCCTCCTCTTCCTTTCTCTCCTAAATTTTTTTTTTTTCACCTCCTAATTGGACGTATTTCTGTTTAACAGAACTTAGCGCCAAATTGAGTTCCTTATGAGGATTTTAGAATCCCGGATAGCGAGTTTTGTCGAAAAGAAGAAGCGCCATGAAAAAGCATTGCGAGTATAGGACAGGACAAGTATCGCGTCCCGCAACACCCGCCAATCCAAGCCCCCCTCTCCCTTCCTCCCCCGTTGGCGCTTATAGTGCCGTTTAATAGAAATACGTCCGATTTTAATTCAGTATCTCATTACATGGATGTTTGCTTCTGCATGGGTTTTATGATAACTCACAACTCTTCATTTATTCCTTCCCTTACCTTTTGTTTGTCTGCTTCACTTTATGGATCAAATTTCATGTTTAAACGTGGGCGCTGTGGTTGGTGGGCAAAAAATATTACTATTTTCGACCTGTACCAGTGTACAAATGTAAACTGCGAGAAAAGTCATCGCAAAAATTCACCTCTTTTTCATAAATAGAGTCGATATTATTACTGTCATGCTAAGGAAAAACGCCGTATGAGCCTTCAGACGTTACCAAGTTTCCTCCGATAAGAATCGAGATTACTGGGAAAATTGTGAATATTATTTTTCAAAAATTTCAGATAATTTTGTACGCAATTTAATCTAAAATATATGCAAATTTCAAGAAATATATGAATGAATGTTGTCAAAAACATATGTTTTACCAAGGGAAATTTGGCAAATCTCGGATGTTCATACGGCGTTCTTCCTTTGCACGGCAGCACAGGTGCCGGATATTACGTTGTTCCCAAGATGAAAGGACGTAACTCCATTCCAAGGTTGCAAAATTGGCTCAAACAGCTCAATATTTTACAAGAATATACATGTACAATTTTTGGCGAAAACTGTCAGATTTTTCAAAGCAGAAGAAAAATCAGTGAAATTTTCACTAAGAAATGCCCAAGATTCTCTTGGTAAAATGCAACTTGCGAGGAGAAATTTGGCAACATTGAAATGTAGTTACGTTCTTTTGTGAGGGAAACTATGATTAGTCATGGAAGCACCAATTTTTCGATCCTAGTATCGATGAACACCAATTATCGATAAATACCAATTATCTATAAACACCAATTATTGATAGATACGACCATAAGATTTTTTGTTTAACCAGTAAACTAACGAAAACTCTAAATATTAAAGTTACAAACCTTTCAATGGAACACGAGCTTTTGTGATGGTGAGCGCAGGCAAGTCCTCAGTGCTGGCTGAGAATTCGTCTAAAATTTCAGTTGCAGTGGTTCGAATCTCCGACCAGTCCCGAGCTATGTCAATGCTAGTTGTACGTTGTGACGTCACGGTAAATCTGATCACATATTTGCCTGCAAAATCAATGAATTTGAACCTTGAATTTGAATTTATTTCATGTTTTTCACATGAGAAAACATACTCTTAAAGCAGTAAAATGTTGCTAAAATATATTAAAATTTAAAAACAACTAAATACAGTATTTACAAAATGAACGGAAAACACAAGAGATTTTTCAACTTCTATACTCACCATAGGTCAGGTGGACTTTAGTCAAATACTTGTCTTAAACTTATTTAGCGAGGTTAAAATAGAATGCAATTTAGACTAAAGATAAGCAAGCTTGACTTGGAAGATTAATAGGATTGCATTTTGCAATTTGGAACTATAAATTTTGGTTCATTTGAAAAAACACTCTTGTGCGTAGGGAAACTAATGGCACATACGTTGTTTTTAAACCGGGCCGGAATTATAGTTCCTAATTGCAAAACGCAGTCCATTATAACTCTGGAGATTGAAGAGCCCAAAGAAGCTTGGTTTGAAATTATGCCAAACAGTCGCTGAGCTGAAAGAAAGCGCAGGTGTCCAATAATGACGATACCTCCACCAATATTTTCGGTAAAACGGGAGACAAATTTATTTTATTCAGCGTTAAAATTGATATCACTTACATTTAATGTTCTTAATATTTTTGTAATTGCTTACAGACGTCAAGAAAATATACGCAATGGTCTATAGGCTATATTTTTTCCATCGCCTATTTTTCTTGTACCGCGTTGAAGTCTCCACTATATTCGAGACAAATATTCATTTCTGAATGCATCAATCAATGGTAGTCTAAAATTATGTAACACATTCTCGGTTTTCTCTAAGGACGGGTTGCATTTCATAAAAAAATAAGCAAAAGTACCTTTAAGTGCGGCTGGAACAGCGTGCATCCTACCCCTGGAGTTGAGCCGCTTGAGAAGCTTTTCTGTGAGAATGTTTTCGCCTTTAAGGCGGAAAACAACCATACCTAAATGCCTTGCCGCTGGTATCTCAAACCTAGGGTCACTGCGCACCAACGCTTCAAATTCGTGAGCTAACCTCACCCCCTGAAAAAAATCAAAAAAATTAATATAGCATTATTTACGTTGTTTTTGGTGATAAAACCTTCCTAGAACAAATTTAGTAAATATCCCTCAAAGTGTGTTCACCTGTAAGTTGAGACTAATAAAAAGTTTCAACTGTGAAAAAGTGTCCCTGAACGTGTTAGCCACGTATAGATAATTTCAAGCACATAATTGATAAGCCAGCAATGAAATAAAATTAGAATCAAATTCTGCAAGATACTTGAGTCGATATTGTAGATGACTTCGTTTTGATGGATGATATGCGAATTAAAAATATCGTATAGTAACTTAGTTACAACAATACATTTCCAAATCTCCCCTAACACTATAATTTGTTTAAAGAAATGTCAATTCACAGGTGTTTTCAAATTGTCTTTTTAGAAAAATTACTTTTTCCGAAAATCAAGAACATTTCTAATCTTAAATCTACAAGCTATTCCCAGTTGTATCAATTAGTTAGTATGGATTATCTTGACAAAACTTATACTTGAATGTATAATAATGTATGACAAATTACCTTTCGAATGTGTTCTTGAAGACCTTTGATACCGTAATTTCTAATCACGAACCACAGCTTCAGAGCTCTAAACCTCTTGCTCAGTGGAATCTGCCAATGCTAAACGAAATATATAAATTAAATGAAGAGCATTCCAAATCGAATTGTTATTTAAACCCTTTTTCAAAATGAAATCGATTATTCAAGAGTGATGCTGATAAGCGTAATTTCTCGCCGTTTTTCCCAAACGAGTGAAAAACGTTCTGGTATAGGATAGAATTAGAGGATACGAGCGAGCAATGTAACTAGGCTCTTCTCTGCTGGTTGAATACTGAAATATTTATTACTTAAGAATCCATAAGATAAATGTGACTAAGGGTCACATGTGTTTTATTATTGTTCATAATATGTGAAAAAAATGATTGAATTGTAAATCCTTGGATACAATTTGTGAACAATGATTTCTAATCAAGTATCAAGTGTGGCGTAAGTAAAAGTCGCAAATTGGATATGTGAGAGAAATTAGTCAAACTGTATTCGAGAGGAGTTGAAATGAATAAGAGTGTAAGGTTAGAGTTCTCATATTGTCTCTCCTCTAGTGTAAGGGAGTTTCTCGATTTCCGCATGAGCCCCAGAAAGCATAGATTTATGTGTAAAATAGGGCTCACATGGAAACTAAGATACGTCTTTACGCCAGAGGGGCAAAGAAATTACGCCTCTAAATAATCCTCCGGAATACGATGCGGGTATGAATCCCAAAATAAAAATCCTAAAATTGTGACTCGACCTCCATCAAAATTCAACGACTGTTCAACGCACAAGATACGTGTGTAAATAATTACAGAGGCACTTACCATGTAATCGATAGCTAGACCTGTAAAAAACGGGAAAAACTTCATGTAGTATTACTTGCCAAATAGTTTTTAATGATTTTTCTACTATATTTAATTGTCCATGGACAGAGTTAATAATCAAGTCAAATATTTTATATCTTCGTCCGCACTAGGCAAATATTTTTCTCCTTTCATGATTTTACTCAGGAGGATTTTCATGTGAATGAAGCAATCCAAGTACTTTTGAAGAAATATATGCTTAAAAATGATACGTGAAGTATGATAAAATTACACCCAAGTATCAAAAAGGCACGGATACACAAGTACGTAAAAGAGGGCGTGACTAATTTTCAAAATCAGCTTCAAATGCATAAATTACCTTTAAATGGTAAAAAATTGTATTTGATTTGTGTTGTTTTGAGCTGGAAAATATTTATTGGTCGTCTCAAAATAATTACCGTTTGACGGCATTTAACGACGATGTTTCAAGTACAATTTGGACGAGAAACTACACATGATGGGTGTCCTTATCGTAGTAATTTGGTTAATTTCTCCTCTTGTGAAATTCGTTAGAAAATCAATTTCCTATTTCAAATACTGCAAGAGTAATCAGATTACCCTTGTTTTTAGTTACTTAAGCGAGAAAAGAAATAGCGCTCACCGGAATTCTCATGCTGCAAGTATAAAGGTTCGACGTTAAATGTCCTGTGTAAAGATCCACTATTCTTCACCCTGAAAATAAAAATTACCTTACGTAATCAGAGTATTAGTATGGAGTTGTTTAGGAAGGCTACATCAAAATGTTTGCCTCTTTTTATATCTTTCGATATTAAACCTCCCTCAACAATATATTCGACGTGAGCCTTGAATATTCTCTAAAAAATTTGTTTCCCTCGTTTTCTGAGGGAATTGCAACAAAATGAACTAATTAAATCAACTAAATTGATCAGATAAAATGAAGTAGGCATGGGAAGTTTACTGAAAAAAAAAAATGCAGATTATTACTTTTCAAAATAGTTTGTAAAGTGAACTATGTGCAAAATAAAGTCCTCATATACGCTTCTGGCGGTTTCCTCTAGTGGTAGCTCATAAACATTAGGATCTTATTGATGAAAAAGCTACCATGCTACAGAAAAATGCCGTGTGAACATTTGAATGTTGCCAAGTTTCCCCCGATAAATCACAACATCCCCAATCAGGTCATATTTTATCAGGGAAAATTTAACAACGCCCGAAGGTTCACGCGGCGTTTTCCTCGGCACGAATGATTAATTTTTTAGATTTATTTTGTATGTAAATAGAGTGAGATTTTTCTTTTCCGGCAATTTGGAAGGAATGTTCTAAGAAATATCGACACATCACGGGGAAATAGATAAACATTATGATACAGAATCTGTCTCATACCACATGGCCGTACAGTCAAAATGCACCATCATCCATTTACTTGGATTGAAAGCCAAAGAATGGGCATAGTTTATCCCACAGAGCCACTTTCGGAATTCGGGACATATGAAAGCAGTTCCCGCGTATGCCGCATCCACGTGAAGCCAGAGTTTTTCTCTTTCACCTACATGAAGAAAAATTAAAGCAAATTACACAAAACCAAAGCTCACCAGACTTGAAGAATCAAAAAAGGAGTTATACGCACACCTATCTTTTCGACAAAATATAACTAAAAAGACCAATCGATTTAATGATATAAGTAAATTTTAAAGGGTCAAGTGAGTGTGAAATTATAGTATTTTTTGTTTTTTTTTATTGTATAGTCATCGTTGGTTTGACAAAATACAAAGGTGTACTCACAAATGGGTCCAAGCTCTTTCAGATTGTCAAATGCGCAAGCTCCTGTTGTCCCCAAAGTTGCGCAGACCTGAAACCAGAGAATACAGTTACGATGAAGCAGGAGATGAAAAAAAAAATCATTTGACGTAATTTACGGATGACCCCAGAGATCCCGTCGAATAAATAGACTTTCATATGGAAAAATGACACGAAAATCAGGATAGGCTCATTGAAGAAGTGTGAAAACCACTTTAAACCCGCAATCTGCATCTTTGTACCACGTTTTTTCAAATTCTTACGTTAACGGTCAGTTTTTTCTGTCCCTGACGACGAGGTTTCACAACCTTAATTACAATTAGAATGTAAACCTAATGTAGTCTCCTAAGAAAAGGAGTTCTTAATGAAATGACCATGAATACAACCCTAGAGTCCCTTTTTACTGAGAGTTAAGCCAATGCGAATCCATTTCTGATTGGTTCTCGTATTTTAGGCCATCACAGTGTCACAAACGGGAATAGAGATTTCACTTTCACCGATTGCAAAGATTATAATCCAGAATGGACCGGGGGTCCGGCAAGGAACAAATATACTGAGAGTTGGAACGGAGATAGGAATTCGGGAATGGGTTGATCAAAGATTTAAAAAAACGTCCAATATGTATAATCTTTATTCCTGTTTGTGACGTCCATCATAAGCAGCGTTGTCTCAACTCTCTCTTTAAAGGGAACACAATTCGAACAACTTTATCACGATTTCGATATGATAAACTTATGAAATTTAATTGAACTGAAATTTAACCCATAACAACACAAATTTTATTCACTTCATTCCTTATAAAAATCTTGAGAGTCGACCCTATGGATACAATTAACCCCGAGCAGTGTTCAAAACTCACCTTTGAGTTTTAGGAGCCATGTGGCGCACCAAGCCCAATTTTTAGGCATCATTGAAGATTTTTTAGGGGCCAAATTGACTTTTTGCCAATAATTATATTACGGCGAGCTTAGTGAAAAGTTAGACGCAAGATGTTATCGTAACAGAACTAGTAATTAGCTGTAACTTGGAAAAGACAAAAGCACTAAGAATGAAATCGTGAAGAATAGAAAAAGCAAGCTTCCACTTGTAGTGCTGAAAATTCTGAGATTTTTCAATTCAAATGAATTTGTTTTTCTTTCTTTATGTGACTTCCTATGAAAATCCAGATTTTTGGGGAGCAATTTTTAGGGGCCAGGTTGGCGCAAAGCCGTTATTTTTTAGGCGCCATGGCCGATTTTTAGGCGCATTTTGCGCGTTGGCGCCTGTGAGTTTCGAACACTGTCTTTCCTCTTCTTCTACTTTGTTCCCTTAAAAATCAGACAAATTCCTAAACTCCACGCTCTGCAGGCCGATGACGTCAAACTTCTCGGCGAATGGAGAGCCGTGTCATCCAAGAAAGTGGGGGCGAGCACCCCCGTCCAGAGTCCTTCTTCCTTTCTTCTTCTTCTTTTCTTATTCTTCATTTCTCTCACTCGATCGGTTCCGGGGCAAAATAAGGAGGGATCTTAAGCGCGGGTGCTCAGCTGCCGCGCCGACTCATTGTAATTGCGTCCCGAGGGACGACCTCCAATCTAAATTCCATCCCGTAAAGAAGTCTCCGTCTTAAATGTTTGTTGCTTTCACCCAATTACCGCTCCGCCTCAGTTGCTCTGATTTACGTGGAATGGTCTCCTACCCTGATGCGATATTGACGTAGGAGCAAAATGGCCTGTTCCACATTTACGGAGTTGTGCTCTGGTGCGATCGAAGCTCACAGGCTGATGAAATATGATGGGATGAGAGCCCTGCCGTGCTAAGTAAAAACGCCTTATGGCATTCGAATGTTACCAACTTTCCTCTTAGAAAATATTTATTTTGGAGGAAAGTTATGAATATTTTTCTTTGAAATAATCAGGCTTCTCATATCTAATTACGAACTAAATCATCCGAAAAAAAATATTCACAAATTTTTCAAAAAATGGGTGATTTTTCGAAGAAAAATTTGTAACGCCTGATGTCTCTTAATGCGATATTGAAGAAGGAGCACAATGTCCTGTTCCTTATTTACGGAGTCGTGTTCTGGTCTGGTGCGATCGAAGCTCACAGGTTGATGAAATATGATGGGATGAGAGCCCTGGCGTGCTGAGTAAAAACGCTTTATGGACATTCGAATGCTACCAAATTTCCTCTCAGAAAATGTCTGTTTATTGAGGAAAGTTATGAATATTTTTCCTTGAAACTTTCTGACTTTTTAGATCAAATTACGAACTAATTCATATGAAAAATCAAAAGATAAATATTCACGAATTTTCCCGGGAATTCGTGACTCGTCAAAGATAATTTTTTGAGTACGAGTAATTTTTAACATTTTGTTGGTATCGAGTAGACCATGGGTGGTTTTTTTTTACTAAAAGGAAAAAAAAACAATATCGCCACTGATTTTCTCTATCAAATGTGTCATCTTGTTGATTAAAACTGGACTCGAAAGAGTGTAGAAAAAGTAGATCAAGGAAAATTTTGTTCAACTTACGAAAAATGGTATCAGTCCTTTATCACGATCCAGTTTTATGGCCTCGGTGAGTTTGTGACCCCTCAAAGAAAGATCTTCGTCCGACTCAAGGTAATGCATTTTGACCAATCCTATTAGACCTGCCTTTTCTATCGATGAGTGAGCCTGAAACATGAATTTTTACAAAAAAAATAGTACAATTAATGAATACATGGCATAATTTAGAACAAAAAATGCGAACGTTTAAAAGACAATTGGACCGCATTAAGCAAAAAGGAACTAAGCAACATCAGCTATTGTCAAATTTAATTGGACATTATAATTTTTTACATGAAAAGTTTTGTGCGGACTTTAGTGCAAATGGATTGAATTTGGTACAAAGGAACCAGAAGAATTGCATTGATGCTAAGATTGTGCGTTTTCATCCTTTGCAATGAAATAACTGAAACTATGATTAAATCTGAAATTTATATGGTAAATTTTGTCTTAAAGTTACCATTTTTAGCGAGTAAAATAGAAACTGTTAATGGATAATCAGGTTTTTCTTCCAAGACAAAAGAAGTTGCACAATCTTAGCAACATTGCAATGCTCCTGGTTCCTTTTTATAAAATGCAATTCAAATGTGAGTGAATTATCTGCATGGCACGAAGCAAATTCCTTGAAATTTTCGAAGAAATCCGCACAAACGTACTCTGGTAAAAAATTAAATTGCCCAGTTGAATTTGGCAATAGTTGATGTGGCTTGGTTCCCTTCTGCCAAACGCGGTCCAATCAAAGTAAGCTCTTAAAATGAACCTTAAAATTAGCATCATGATCGGTGGATATTTTTTCTATTTTTAGTACTTATTGAGTAGCCCATATTAAAATGTACAGTTTTTCTTTAGAATGAGACCGTCTTTTTTGCATCTGGGTAATTGGTAAGTGAGGACCTATACAAACTGAAGAAATAAACTTTGAATGGTAAAAAAGGAACAAGGATCGAGGAATTGTTGCTACCAGTGTGCGCCTTCAAAACACCGGCCTTGAAACATATAGCATTTGCCGTAGCAACTATACCACCACGGCGGTCGCGATCTAGTCTATCTAAATAAATGAAGGGGTTCGTATTTGCTGCGTCAACACTTCATGAGTCACGCCTCATGCTCATGACTATGTCACTACCTCTCTCTCGCTTCCTCTCTCCCCTTATATTTTGAGGAAAATTGCGCGCATTCAAAACCTCCTGCTTTTATTCTTCCTGCTATTTTAGTAGTACCTTGTCACATATTAAATTGAAAATAATTTAACATAACTGCTACCAAATTAGGAAAACAATATCGAGCACCTGATCCGAGCAGTAGGCAACAAGTCTACTGTTTATTTCTGCATCCTCTAAGTCGGGGTGGATCTCTTTGTAACGTGTAATTGCTTCGGTTCTTCCGGCTAAGAGACAGACAAACGTGGCCTCGCTTGCAGTTGTCTGAAAAAGAGAGCGATTCTAGTTTGAGATTTAGATGAGGAGGACGAAGTATCACTCGTTTAAATATTCAGTATCTTCCTAAGCATAGAAACTATCATATAATTGATTCCTAGAGGCTGAGTGTAATTTCTCTTTTTTGTGAAATAAGGAAGGATGCTCACTTCAGACAAACAGACCGTAAGTAGAGGCAATGGGTTCTTGTTTTCTTTTTGATTCTTGGAATTGGAATGTAAAGTTACAAAGACGATTATTAAATCTCAGCGGCGAGGCGTGAATAAACGATTATCGAAATCTTCCTATCTGAAGGTATGGTAAAGAATCGATTGTTAAGGTGTCCGTTGCGAGCATCCTGTTTATCGATCCTTTTACATAGGTTTTAATGGCAGATCAATCGATACATCGCAGAACGCGCCAAGTCATTGTTAAATGTAATCAGACTACTGTGGGATTTATTATTCGTAAGTATGGAATGGATTCAATATTTTTATTTTATTTTTTCACATTTACATTACATCTTTGTTTTTTCCTGCTTGGAATCTACTTCACATGAGATTCTTTGAAGTGATGTGCAGAGTCCTTCTTACTTTTACGTTTAATAAATATTAAGGTGGGTTTTTGTAGATATTTATAATGAAAAATTAATAAACCAAGGCTTGAGCAACCGCTGTTGATTGGTCTTATATTTTTATTATTCTAATTTCTATTGAGGATTGTCTATCCATTCTATTTTTTAAGTTTTTCGATTTTTCTTCAAATTCTTACCTGAATCACTCCGCCACCTTGACTGTCGCCGCGAAGATGTAGAAAATCATCCGGCAGCCCAACCATTTTACCCAACCAGTTCATGACCACAATTTCCAATTCTGTGCAAGCTGGGCTACTCGCCTGTAGAAAAGCATTATGTTAACTTGTATTAGAATTAGGAACAAATTGAATCTTTTAAAAATGAGATACCATGTAAGGACTATGATTACTTTTTTTGCAAAGCATTTCCTTACACTGAAAAGAAGGTTGGTAGAATTTACCATTCCTTCACGCTGTATTTCACACAGCTTCGATTCAGAGTCAATTCTGCCAGAAGAAAGGTAAACGCGTTACTATATTCTGGTACATGTAACCATTCCTCTGGCAGAATCGACTTGAAGATTGGTAGAATTTACCATTTCTTCACGCTATGCGGAGGAGCGTGAAGGAATGGTAAGTTCTACCAATTTTTTTCAGTACACGATGTTTTTAAAAAAAACATTTTGCTGGAAAAAATCAAGCTCATGCTAAAAAATACCAACAAAATAACTCGCTTTGATGTGGCTATGAGAACATAGCGAAATAGTTTCTCTTGGGAATAATAAGAATATTTTTCTCAGAACTGGTTCCGAATAGTGTAAACTGTGGATTTAACGAATAATTGTCTCTTTCACTTTCATCTTTTTCTCTTTAAAACATTAGGCCAGCCAAGAATTTAGCGTATTACTGCTTATAGGCAGTTGAAGTTGATAAAGAGCGGAGAAAACAATTAATAAACAATAATATTCGTTCCTTTAATGGTTGATAGCATGGACCATTGAGTTCATTCAGATGAGGTTCAAAAAGAAAACATCTGCTCTTTTAAAGACACCTCCTACAGTTTGTTTTCTTTTTCTTTTTTTACCTCTAATCTCCCCCTTCGAATCTCCCAAGTTTTGCAATGAAAACTAATAACACGATTTGTTCATCTCCTGTTCTTTACGTGCTCCGTATCGTCGGTCCTCTGACGTAAGAGCGTATCTATATTTCCGCGTGAGCCATGGAAAGCATTGATTTATATGGATAACAAGGCTCACGTGGACATCGAGATACGCCCTTACGTCTGAGGAGAGACGGTATGAGAAGGGTTGAGTATCGTCTACGATCAACCCCCTCAAGCATATTCTCCTCCCTTCTTCAATCGATTTTAAACATTTTTTTGTCGATTTGTTTACGCAGAACATTTATTGCGTCACATTGGATCACCCATTTGGATTCAAAGGTTGCGTCACTTTAAAGTGGCAACGATGCAGTAGTATTATTAGTATTCAAAACAAGAAGCTATTATTTTCAGAAAAATTATCGAACAAAGAATTTTTTGGCGAACATTTCTTGAATTAACTCTACCTTGAAATAAAAATGTTGGTCATATGAATCATAGATACAGTGATCTATATTGGCCCATTTATTCAGTAAATGCAACCAACCTTCAAATTAAACCGAATTACGGATGAAGCCATGCATAAACCGAAAGTACCGTCTCTAGAACCGAAAATGCGGTTACATGTCAAGCAGTGCGGGCCGATATGCAGAACACAGTGATGTCAGTTCTTGTGACTGAGATATTTTCCTCAATGGATTATAATGAAAGTAAAATCCTCGAATCAATTTTATTTTACACCAAACATTTTAACACTTTGACACTGTAAACACTCAAAAAATGGCGAGATGTACCACTGGAGTTTTAAATCAACTTACCCATGTGAATCCGAGACAGTTGATCGCGTCGGCTAACATGTCTCCGAGTAGCGATGGGTATGAATTCAACGCCGGAAAGTACGCGTGCATGTATGGAGATTGCCAATGAGTGACCTTCAGTTATAAAGTAATGGATGTTAGCAGGAGTAAGATAAATGAGGGGTTTGGAGGACAAGGCGCAAAAAACCAAATTTAAACGATCAAATCATATCGCCTCAATTTTTAACTTTGATCGAATTTGGAGACTTGAGAACGTAATGTTGAATTAATTTTGAACTTACGGAGAAAATGCTGGGGCAAAGTTATCGAAAATTGGCTCATTTCGTGGGAAAATCTATGACTTTTGAACAGGGCCCGAAACTTCCCTTAAAATTAGTTAGAAAGTTAAAGTTAGTTGATTCCTAAGATTTTTACTTAAAAGTGCTTAAAATTTGGTAAATTTTCCCGTATCATTTTTTTTCTACGATAACTTGAACCGGAGTTATGATTTCTTGCAAATAGGTCAAATTTGACCTTTGACCTATCATAACTTAGTCAAAAATTAAAATATTGGTCTGCATTATGCGCCAAAATTCTTAGTTTTTAATGCTGTTTCCAGTGAGGCATCACAAGATAGGGGTTATCATTTGGAAAAAAAAGTTGAGGGCCCTCTCCCCCTCTCCCCCTCTCCCTCTCCCACCCCGAAGATGGTCTCCTTTGAGATAGGAGCATTCCCAAAGTTTCGTTTTTCTATCTCAAATGGTTCAAAAGTTAGAGGGTGAGGAGGACCGCATTTTTGGATTATTATACTCAAGGGAGTGTGAGGATATACATACCCCTGGCATGATGATTTTTTCAACATCTTTGAAAATGGTGTCCCAAGACTCTCCTGCAAGCGGGGCACAGTCGGGAATCATGCACCGCATGTAGCCTGGTTTCACATCCGGATAGACCCTGCGATCCCTGATATTTTCCAAATAGTCCGCGATGTAGTCCACCATTTCCTTGCCTGCGAGGAAAAAACAGACTTCGTGGTGTAGCAAAATTGCGGTTAACTGCCCATGTGGCATAAAGCTCTAATTAATATTAAAATTTTGAACATGTAGGTACTTCTTGAAACAGGAAAAAACACACTCACTCTCAATTCTTTATTTAAGGAAAAAGAGTTCAATAGAAATTGAAAAATAGAAGGTTTTAACATCAAATCATCACACAAAAAAGAGGGAGTAAGATACTACGATTAAAGGTAATTTAATGAGCTATTCGGAGACCTGTAAGAGATTGATCGATGATTTTTACGTTGTATGCTGTGTTTGGAAGGTTAGATTTAGTGGAGGGAAAAAATCCTCAAATTGTTTTGTTAAGTGGACTGGAAATAGAGCTTAAGACTTTTTTTGTGGAAACATGAATTTTATGGTGATGAATAAAGCCAAAAATGCAGAGCTCCACTACACGGCAAAAAATTAAATGTTGATTTAGCATTTATACTGTTAAAAAAATGTCCGACAAGTTCCCAATGCTGATTTTACAATACAAAAATGCTAACATAACATTTTAATTTGTACGTTTTGCAGTGGGCGTAGTTACGTTAGCATTTATTAAAATGTAAAATCAGCATTTGAAACTTGTCGGACATCTGTTTAACAGTATAAATGCTAAATCCAAATTTAATTTCTTTCCGTGTACAATAATTCTTAAAAATTTCCTCAGCCCGTCAAGGGGTACGTGAATTTGCCCTTGTGCGTATGAGAAGCAAATCAATAATTGCATCCAAGTCTATACAACCACAAAACTTGCAAACCTCAACGTTTGCGCTTCGAGTAGGATCGATTTATCGATTGTTCTCATTAGTTGGACGGCAATTCCTAGCACCCCGTTTCGCACTAATAATTATCACGCTTCAAAAGTCCACTTTCAATCATGCAGCTGTTTGCAAGGAAAACATTTGTCCATCACCTTGCCGTGCATTGTTCCATTGTAGCGGATTTGTACTTGACCCTCCAAGTTTTTTGCCGCACAGTGGTGGGCATGTATGTATCACCTCGCCAACACCGAGTGCTCATATGTTTTCAACTTAGTACATTAAACAAGAGAAATTACGGATTTGCTTCTTGCAATACAAAGATTACATGCAAATGTTAATCCTCTCTCTCAAATTTGTTTTAATAAACTCAATTTTTTTTAGGAAGTTCAAATTATGTTAATGAATTTCTTTTAAAAATATATTTCAAAATATTTTTAGTTTATCAATGAAATGTTTTTGTAAACGTTTTGCAATCTTATTTGTGGAAAAACATTACGCAAGAACTTTTAAAATCTTTATACGAAAAAATATGTTTAAGATATTTACAAAAGTATTTATAGGAAAAAGCCCGTATGGGGGACTGATGTCACAGGTTTAGCAATCCTGCGGACCCCAGCTGGTAACCCCTGCCTCATGGGGTAGTGGAGATGGTCACCGGCTTCAAGGCGTATGAACCACCCATTGGAAGGGCAGACAGGGCTCTCAGCTGTAGTGGAAGCAACCTGTCTAGGAGAGGAAACTCCGAAATCAAACCCCGGTCCTCCAGGTTGGGGGTTGAGTCATCGGGCTAACTCCCCGATACTCGGAAAAAGGAATACTGTTAAAAGACCCAATAACAATTGCCTCGGTACAAATGGAAATAAACGGATTTATCGGAAA